CCAGGTAAGTCAATAAAGAAACTGGCTCCTTATTTACCAAATGCATAAGAAAGAAGTACTAAATTACCAAATGCATAAGAAAGAAGTACTACAAAATATTGAGTAAAGGTATCTGTTTACGTTGCCCTTTAAAATATTTTCCAATTCTGATCAATTAGATACATATACTCAGTGTAGATGAAGTATGTATTTGTATTAATGAGAAACAAAAATAATAGAGAAAAATGACTAGAAAAACCACCTCAATCTGGTTACAGTGTCATCCCTGGGTAGGAGTTAAGGTGATTTCCCCCTTCTTTGTGCTTTTCTAATTTTTTTTCAATGAGCATATTTTATAATCAGGAGATACTATATATCTCCTATATAATAAAGAGGTAATATGCAAATTCACCATCACGCCATCGCACAGATGGCTGCCCCCATATGGCCACAATATGGCTGCCACCATGTCATTACAAGATGGTCGCCCCATGTTGTCACAAGATGGCCACCACAAGATGGTCAGCAGGGGAGGGCAGTTAGGGGCGACTGGGCCAGCAGGGGAGGGCAGTTAGGGCCAACCGGGCCAGCAGGTGTGTGTGTACTTGTATATGATGTATTTGGAATTTTTTAACTTTTATTTTTCAAATACAATTTACATTCAATATTATTTTGTATTAGTTTCAGGTGTGCAGCATAGTGGATCATATACCTACAAATTGTTCTCCCTGATAGACCACCTGATACCATACATGGTTATTACAATATTATTGACTATATTCCCTATGCTGTACTTTACTCACTGTGACTATTTTATAACTACCAATTTGCACTTCTTAATCCATTCACCTTTTCACCCAGTCCCCCAAACCCCCTTCCCTCTGGGTAGAACAGATTTATATTAAAAAGAGAGAAAATTATTCTCTTTGTCTACATCTTAGTAATTTTCTCAGCATAATCCTCTCCAGATCGCTTTCACAACCTAGCTCTCTGTTTTTATGATACAGGTAGTACCTGCAGCACACTGAGGAGGGAACACCCCACACTTCACCTCACTCACTGGGATTCCTTCCAGTTACTCTGCACAGCCTTAGTGATGTGCTGACTTATTAGACCTACAGCCCCTGCCTGCCCCCCAAACATAATAAATGTGATGATCACTTCCATACTAAATGCTTCCTTCTTGATGGAGGCTCAGAAAGCCCATAAGAAAGTAAGATGCCAGAAGGAAGTCACCTTGAACAGCAGAGTGAAGAGGAGCAGAAAGCATCTTACCAGAAGCCCAGTCTCTGACTATGATGGCTCGGGGCTACTGTGGGGTGGGGAGGGTTAGAATAGAGAAATTAACAGAGAGGGAGGGAGGGAGGAGGGAGGGAAGGAGGGAGAATTAAGCAAGGTAAAGGGGGAGAGTTCAGAGATACAATGTTCTTAACAGGAATAATAATAACAAACACAATTATATTAATACAAAGAGCCATAGCAACAGTAAGATGTGTTATCAGAGGTGCCAACAGTGTGCTTGCTGCTGCGGCAGAATTGAGCCCTCTCAATTAAGCTGTGATCTGCATTCTGTCTGAACTGTATGGGAAGGATGAGCAGCCATGTGGACAGCCTGGGATGAAGGGACTCTTCTGTTAATTACAAGGCCATGGGTTTTTCTCCTGGCTAAATAGTGTGGGTGAAGACTGTGATAATCGTTGTTTCCTGCTGTGCTCTGACTCCTTTCCGCGGAGTCCAGGGTGAGACCCAAAGGCCAGAATAGAGGGTATGGGGAATCCTGGGAGTAAGTCCTAGGACAATGTGAAGGGGTAAAGGGAATCTTGGAGATGTTGAGTAATATCTACCTATCTATATAAAAAGCCAGTGACCGTAATGGCCATATGACCATAACTACCGGTGGCCAGCAAACTGGCTGATCGGGGGTGGGGCCAACCAGCCAACCTCAGGGCTCCTCCCCCCTGCCAGCATGCCCCTGATTGGATTCTCCCACCCTGATCAAGAGCAGGCTGACTGGCCAAACACCCCCTCCCTTCCCCTGGCCAGCCCTGCCCGATCAGCTAGCCCCACCATGATAGGCCCACAGCCCCTCTCCCCAGCCAGCCCTCCCCTGATCACAACCCCCCACCCCAAAAGGGGGCGGGGGCTGGCCCCTCCTCCCCTCCAGCCATGCCCCCGATGGGTCCCCACCACTCTACATCCCAGATGGGCCTCCCCACCCCAATCAGGGGCGGAGACAGCTGGCCCACCAACCACAGCCCCTCCCTATGGCCAGCCCCACCCCCAATCGTCCCCCCAGCCCCAATCAGGGACCAGTTGCCCATGGCCCCTTCCCCCAGCCCAGCCCTGGTCAGCCCCAATCAGGGCAGGCCAGCAGGCCAACCTCCCACCATCTCCTTTCCACAGGCCCAACCCTGATCCCCCCGATTTGGGCTGGATTGGCTGGACCCCGGACCCCACCTGTGCACAAATTTGTGCACTGTGCATCTATCTATCTATCTATCTATCTATCTATATATATATATATATATATATTCCTATATATAGGAAATTGAAGAATCAATGAAAAGTTCATGCATCTGTTCTCATTGGACTCCCACATTACCAGTGATACTTGGAATCATCTTTGAAAACCAAACAGCAGGATCCCCTTGGTGAGGCTGTGGGGAAAGGGGGTATTTTCAGTGTAGTGGAAAACTGGCTGACCCATTCCCTTGGGAAATGAAGAGTTCTGTACCCAGGGTGGACCCCAGGAGTTGTAGGCCTGAATTGTGCCTCAGAAGGAGGACAGTAAGAAGGTAGAAGCTAACATCATAATTGACTGGGCGGGGGGCGGGGGGGGACAGGTCTTGGAGAATGTTAGAGGGAGAATATTGGCGATTAAAAGAGAAGGATAGTGGGGAGGGAGAAACTAGAGAAGAAAGGAGAGGAAAGAATACAAGTGTATAGTTCAAGGAGGGGATTCATAGTCTTTTCATCTTGCTGAAAATGTATAAAATATATTTATGTTGCCCTTTTAAACATCTTTCTATTCAGCTTCTATTAAAATCATATATTCAGCATAAAGTATGTATTTTTACTGATGAGAAACTAAAGAGAACAAAATTGAGGTCCAGAGACCCAGAAAGGTTGTGACTTTTTCAAAGCCACACAGTGGCATCCTGACTCCCAAGGGCAGCACTGTCATTCACCTACTCTTGGCCTGCCTGACCAACTCCCAGGTCACCTTCCTTCCCACTTTTGCACAAACTCAGGTTCACTTTGAATAAACACCTTAACCCTTTTGGGTCTTGGTTTACTCAATGGCCATATAAGGGTATGAAATGACCCTTCACAATTTATGTTTCATCCACAAAGAATAAGGGGACCTAACATGTCACCAACTCAGCATATGTTTGACTTCTCAATACCCTGAAAAAGTAGTTTTTAAAATGTGGCCCTCACCGGGCAGGTGTGGCTTAGTTGGTTGAGCGTGGTTCCATACACCAGGAGGTGGCTGGTTGGATTCCAGGTCAGAGCACATGCTTGATCCCCAGTAGGGGCTTCAGGAGGCAGCCAATCATGTTTATCTCTCATTGATGTTTCTACCTCTCTCTCCCCCTCCCTTCTTCTCTCTGAAATCAATTAAAAATTTTTAATTAAAAATAATAAAATAAAAAGATAAATAATGAATAAATAAAATGTGGCCCTGGACCAGCAGCGGCATCAGCACCTGGGAACTTACTAGAAATGAAAATTCCCGGGGCCCACCCCAGACCCTACTGACTCAGAAACTCTGGGGGTGGGGCCCAGCAGACTGTGTTTTAATAAGCCTCCTGGGGGTTCTGATGCAACTCAAGTTTGAGAGCCGCTATTCTGAATGTTTCCTGCCCAACACTAAAGAGAGGATTTAACACACACACATGTACACGCGGAGATAACTTTTCTCTGGAGCCACTCACCCTCCCCCTCTCACCCTTTTCCTCGCTCCTCCATCCTGGGATGATGAATGGAGGTCAGGGCAGGGCGCTGTCAACGAGGATGGCAAACCCCCCCTTTCCAATCTAGGGGAAGGCGGGTAGGAGAGGGGTCCGGGGAGGTGGCCTTGGGGCTTCCCCAAGATTGGTTTCCTTATCATTTTCTCCACAATTGCTAACGAACTATGGGGGGGGGGGGAGGAGGTCAAGTTTAATTTAAAAAGTTTGCTTTTAATGATTTAGTCAATAGTTTGCAGCTTGAACAAGAGACTATTGCGAGGAGGGATGTCAGAAAAAAAGCTTGGGGAGAAGAGACTGGAGAGAGGAGGACAGCCTATGAGAGCAAGGGTCCCAGGTTAAGCTAAGGAGAAAGTGGGTGTCCAGAGGAGCCCGCGGGTGTGGGCGAAAGGCAGAGGACATCCCATTTGTATGGGAAAGAGAGGAGCTGGGGGAAGCGCGAGACGAAGGCGCAACAGAAAGAAAATGGGTGTTAGGAGAAAAACTGAGTTTGGGAGACTTTTTTTTTTCCAGCTTCCTTTCCAAGACGTTTTCTTTGCTCCATTTTGCTCCTCCCCCTCCTCCCCGCCTTCTCGGCCCCCCTCCTCCGCCTCGCGCGGTAATGGGAGGTTCCTAGGCAGGAGAAGCAAAAGAAGATATTGTCTGCGAGTTCAGTCATCCAAAAAAGCTTCTTCCATATGGAGGGACCGGGTGCGCCCGGCGCGGCGTCCCCTGCCCTGCCCTGCTGCCGCCGCCGCCGCGGGCCGAGGCGTTCCAGCCGGCAGCTGCCTCCCTGTCCTCCTCCTTTTCAGGGCGCTGTCCCCATGCCTGGCTTCACACAGCTGTCTTATAAGGACTCCTGTCACATGGACCAGGGCTCACTCTGCTCCAGCACGACTTCACCTGCACTCATTACTGCAACCATCCTGCTCAAAGGTCACATTCTGAGGTCAGGACCAGGGCCTCAACATACCTTTTTGGGGAAGACACAATTCACCCAGAGCATCCTCCAAATTCATGATTCCCTCTGCTCTGTGCCACTGGGCATGACCCCTAGGCCTGTCCCTATCACTCTCTCCGCGCTCACCACGCTGGCCCCGGGCCGGCTCTCCCTTCCCAGGAGCCGGCTGCACCAGAGGTGAGTCACGTCTCTGAAGTTTGTTTTCTTTTCATAAAAAGTTGTGTTTATTTGTTGGTTTGGGGAGGGAGGGGGCGGGAGGCGCCCGCAGGCCAGGGCAGCCGGGGAAGC